ACCAAGACGCTCCTCGTAAATAACAAAGCAAACATAGTGATTGCCCAAATAATTGATAACGCCTCTAAGTGTGTATTTATTATTCGCTATATAATAGTTTTGGCAATATCGTGTAAATTGTATATATTTGAATAATTTTAACATTTTTGGAATAATTGCTATCTGTTAAATAACTTGTATCGATCAGAATTTGTGATCCATAATTTTCATTAATATCACATACATTGTGCATTTGATACATGTTTGTTTCAACATTAATGTGTCATTAAGAGCATCTTGAATATCTTGAAGACCTTTTTGTAATATTATGTCAACATTTATGCTCATAGCTGTAAATTTTCTCTCGTTGGAATAATTGCATATTTTGCAAATTTTATTTCTTGTCAAACTTGGTAGAGAGACAAAAGTGTATTCAGCTAAGTGAGCAGCATTACACATTGCGTCTAAAGAATTGAAACGTCTGGTATATTTCGATGATGGAAATAATGTCGTTTCAATGAGAAAAGATGCTCTTTCTGCATATTCGTTTTTACAGATTTTACCTGTAGATGCAATTTTTAATGCTAATTGTAAAAAGCGATCGTCTAATTTTTGCAATGTTTCCTTATATTGCACATGCATACCTATCACGTGTATTGTAATATGAAGAAGAGCATCGAAAGCACATGTATTTCGAAGCATTATAGTTTCTCCATCCAATTTTACCGGTTGGCATAAACTTCCATTTTTCATTATAGGTATGCTAATAATATTATTCGATTCAATACTGTCCCATTCGGGACATTTATCTAAATATGTGTTTTTTTTAATGTTATATTTTTGGTGTCTTTATTTACCAAGCCCATCCAATTCTCTTTATAATTAAAGGAATTATCTGAATTTTCAGATAAATCCGAAATTATATGGGGTTTTTTATCATCATCATCCGAACTTTCCGATAAATTCGACATTGCATTGGCTTTTTCATTATTATTATCAGATTTTTCAGAAAAATTATCGGATTTTTCAGAAAAATCTGATATTACACAGGCTTTTTTATCCGAAATTTCTGTAGTAGATTCATTTTCATAAATCGTTGTCGAGTGTAAAAATGATGCGTCGTTTATGGAATTAGACAATGCGGATTTCTGTGAATTTGATTTGGCAGAAATTTTAGTTTCTTGTTCTTCAGCGAAATCCAAACGCAATCTGCCGTCGAGATATTGTAAATGGTTGATAACTAATTTATCTACTCTCATTGGAATACAACCCTTGAACAATCTATTTTTATATTCAGCGAAAGTTGACTCCACTGAAGAAGATGTTGCTATTTCCGTTCCCGCTTTAAAATAAGGACGCATAATGCCAGTCCATAACGGCAAAATTTTTATCAAATCTTAATTTTTTCAGCAGCTTTCGGATTATAAAAAGCATTAACGATGTTTCCATCGCATGATTTTTGTGCTAAAGTATTGGCTTTTGAATAAATTTCATTGGTCCATATTTGCCACGATAAAATTTCCTCGTTATCGAAGTCATCTGATATCGATGACGTTTCATGTTCTAGGTCATCAGATTCCTCGATGTATATACCTTTAATACATTCATTTATAGATTGCAAGCAGGCCTGGGCTGGAACAGACGTATCATTTATGTAACCTATTTCTTCGCTTAGGGCTACAACGAGTAATGATGTTAAGAAAGAAGATAATTCTTCCATCGATTGCATTTTGTACGCTTGAGATATGCATCTTAAATAAAATTGACGTACTTTGCGTGGCTGATGTCGCAAACATTCCCATTTGGATATAATTTTAATTACATGGCTAACGTCTAGTCTTAAATAAGAAGCAGGTAAAAATGTTTCTTTATTTTTTACCGATATATCGTAGCAACATTGCAGATAATGCTTTAGGTCAGCGCAATCTGCAAATGCGCGAGCTAAAGCGACTAACATTGCTCGACTATAATCTGTGACTGTTACAGATGGTACCGTAGCACCGGCTCTCCGAATCTCAATTAAAAAGTACGTCAAAATTGCTGCATCTTGTTTCGTAGATATCATCTGAAATACTGGAATACCCCGTTTATTTTTTGGAACGATCTTACATTGGTATAAGAAAAGATGGGGAGATTTTGTTCCATCAGGTAAAATTAATGCTTTTGCTAAACTACCTGTAGCATCCATAGTAAAATAAGCAGTTCTGCTTCTATTAATTAATTTATACATCATCATTTGTTCTTTAGACCAATACATGACGTAGAAAGGGTCTAAGCCTATTGAATGTATCGAACCGGGAACTTTAGTATATTTAAAAATTTGTAAATTTTGAATGGCGTCATGATTATTGTCGATGCCTAAACGATTATCTATTTCGTTCTGTTTAGCTTTACGCAAAACTCGCGGCGAATATAAAATTGGCGGATTTTTATCGCCAAATTCCATAATTCGATTTGCTTCCTCAATGCGCCAAATAGTTGCTTGTTTTTTCGCGTCCACTAAATGACTGGCAATCTTTCGACGAAGAGATCCTTTTAAATGTCTTTTTTTAATATGAATAATTTCATTGTTAAAACCAAATAAATTGCAGTCGAATATAGCATCCTGCCCATCATTTGGCTTTCTGTACATTTTTCCGCGTAATATTGCCTTGCACTCTTTACACACAGCATTAAATCGAACGAAAGATTTAGCATTGAGGCTTGAAAAAACAGTAGCATTTTTGAAAGTAAAGGCGCAAGGAATTTTTGTCTGTTCCCATATTTTCACGGCAAATATATTTGACCATTCTCCGGGTTTGAGTTTTAAATAACGACGATTATTATATTGTTTTGCAACAGGCTTTATATCGTTCCAATTTTTTTCTGAGATAATTAATCGAAAATTTTTATTATCTTGTTTCGAATGTTCAAACGAACTTACATTCGCAGATTCATCAATAATTTTTTCAGAAGATTTCTCGATTACTTTGTTCAAATTAAATGCTTCCAATACAATAGAATATATACCGCGTCTATTTGTGTTTAAAATAGTATATACGTGCTTAGGACTTATATAAGAGTTCAAACTTTCCATCTTCTCGCTTATTTTTAAATATATAGGGTTTGAAGGTGGAAAACATTTTCCATTTAGATCTATACATCTAAATTCCGAGGTTTTTAATATATCTATTAGTATATTCTGATCGTACATTATTGAAAATATTCGATGGAATCTCTCAATAAAGAAAATCTGAAACACTGCTGTTTCTCCGGGTTTCGATATGCTCTTTTTATATCGCTTTTTAATATGCTGCTGTATCGCGACAAGTGAATCTCTCGTCTGGAGCTCGTACAGAGGAGTGGAGTAGCTGACCATCCCCACCACAGTAATATAAGTAAGGAGTAGGCGCTACGCCTTGATACGTAGGCACGTCTCCCACCACTGTACTTTAAGACCGTGAAACTACTCCACTCCTCTGTACGAGCTCCAGACGAGAGATTCACTTGTCGCGATACAGCAGCATATTAAAAAGCGATATAAAAAGAGCATATCGAAACCCGGAGAAACAGCAGTGTTTCAGATTTTCTTTATTGAGAGATTCCATCGAATATTTTCAATAATGTACGATCAGAATATACTAATAGATATATTAAAAACCTCGGAATTTAGATGTATAGATCTAAATGGAAAATGTTTTCCACCTTCAAACCCTATATATTTAAAAATAAGCGAGAAGATGGAAAGTTTGAACTCTTATATAAGTCCTAAGCACGTATATACTATTTTAAACACAAATAGACGCGGTATATATTCTATTGTATTGGAAGCATTTAATTTGAACAAAGTAATCGAGAAATCTTCTGAAAAAATTATTGATGAATCTGCGAATGTAAGTTCGTTTGAACATTCGAAACAAGATAATAAAAATTTTCGATTAATTATCTCAGAAAAAAATTGGAACGATATAAAGCCTGTTGCAAAACAATATAATAATCGTCGTTATTTAAAACTCAAACCCGGAGAATGGTCAAATATATTTGCCGTGAAAATATGGGAACAGACAAAAATTCCTTGCGCCTTTACTTTCAAAAATGCTACTGTTTTTTCAAGCCTCAATGCTAAATCTTTCGTTCGATTTAATGCTGTGTGTAAAGAGTGCAAGGCAATATTACGCGGAAAAATGTACAGAAAGCCAAATGATGGGCAGGATGCTATATTCGACTGCAATTTATTTGGTTTTAACAATGAAATTATTCATATTAAAAAAAGACATTTAAAAGGATCTCTTCGTCGAAAGATTGCCAGTCATTTAGTGGACGCGAAAAAACAAGCAACTATTTGGCGCATTGAGGAAGCAAATCGAATTATGGAATTTGGCGATAAAAATCCGCCAATTTTATATTCGCCGCGAGTTTTGCGTAAAGCTAAACAGAACGAAATAGATAATCGTTTAGGCATCGACAATAATCATGACGCCATTCAAAATTTACAAATTTTTAAATATACTAAAGTTCCCGGTTCGATACATTCAATAGGCTTAGACCCTTTCTACGTCATGTATTGGTCTAAAGAACAAATGATGATGTATAAATTAATTAATAGAAGCAGAACTGCTTATTTTACTATGGATGCTACAGGTAGTTTAGCAAAAGCATTAATTTTACCTGATGGAACAAAATCTCCCCATCTTTTCTTATACCAATGTAAGATCGTTCCAAAAAATAAACGGGGTATTCCAGTATTTCAGATGATATCTACGAAACAAGATGCAGCAATTTTGACGTACTTTTTAATTGAGATTCGGAGAGCCGGTGCTACGGTACCATCTGTAACAGTCACAGATTATAGTCGAGCAATGTTAGTCGCTTTAGCTCGCGCATTTGCAGATTGCGCTGACCTAAAGCATTATCTGCAATGTTGCTACGATATATCGGTAAAAAATAAAGAAACATTTTTACCTGCTTCTTATTTAAGACTAGACGTTAGCCATGTAATTAAAATTATATCCAAATGGGAATGTTTGCGACATCAGCCACGCAAAGTACGTCAATTTTATTTAAGATGCATATCTCAAGCGTACAAAATGCAATCGATGGAAGAATTATCTTCTTTCTTAACATCATTACTCGTTGTAGCCCTAAGCGAAGAAATAGGTTACATAAATGATACGTCTGTTCCAGCCCAGGCCTGCTTGCAATCTATAAATGAATGTATTAAAGGTATATACATCGAGGAATCTGATGACCTAGAACATGAAACGTCATCGATATCAGATGACTTCGATAACGAGGAAATTTTATCGTGGCAAATATGGACCAATGAAATTTATTCAAAAGCCAATACTTTAGCACAAAAATCATGCGATGGAAACATCGTTAATGCTTTTTATAATCCGAAAGCTGCTGAAAAAATTAAAGATTTGATAAAAATTTTGCCGTTATGGACTGGCATTATGCGTCCTTATTTTAAAGCGGGAACGGAAATAGCAACATCTTCTTCAGTGGAGTCAACTTTCGCTGAATATAAAAATAGATTGTTCAAGGGTTGTATTCCAATGAGAGTAGATAAATTAGTTATCAACCATTTACAATATCTCGACGGCAGATTGCGTTTGGATTTCGCTGAAGAACAAGAAACTAAAATTTCTGCCAAATCAAATTCACAGAAATCCGCATTGTCTAATTCCATAAACGACGCATCATTTTTACACTCGACAACGATTTATGAAAATGAATCTACTACAGAAATTTCGGATAAAAAAGCCTGTGTAATATCAGATTTTTCTGAAAAATCCGATAATTTTTCTGAAAAATCTGATAATAATAATGAAAAAGCCAATGCAATGTCGAATTTATCGGAAAGTTCGGATGATGATGATAAAAAACCCCATATAATTTCGGATTTATCTGAAAATTCAGATAATTCCTTTAATTATAAAGAGAATTGGATGGGCTTGGTAAATAAAGACACCAAAAAATATAACATTAAAAAAAACACATATTTAGATAAATGTCCCGAATGGGACAGTATTGAATCGAATAATATTATTAGCATACCTATAATGAAAAATGGAAGTTTATGCCAACCGGTAAAATTGGATGGAGAAACTATAATGCTTCGAAATACATGTGCTTTCGATGCTCTTCTTCATATTACAATACACGTGATAGGTATGCATGTGCAATATAAGGAAACATTGCAAAAATTAGACGATCGCTTTTTACAATTAGCATTAAAAATTGCATCTACAGGTAAAATCTGTAAAAACGAATATGCAGAAAGAGCATCTTTTCTCATTGAAACGACATTATTTCCATCATCGAAATATACCAGACGTTTCAATTCTTTAGACGCAATGTGTAATGCTGCTCACTTAGCTGAATACACTTTTGTCTCTCTACCAAGTTTGACAAGAAATAAAATTTGCAAAATATGCAATTATTCCAACGAGAGAAAATTTACAGCTATGAGCATAAATGTTGACATAATATTACAAAAAGGTCTTCAAGATATTCAAGATGCTCTTAATGACACATTAATGTTGAAACAAACATGTATCAAATGCAACAATGTATGTGATATTAATGAAAATTATGGATCACAAATTCTGATCGATACAAGTATTTTAACAGATAGCAATTATTCCAAAAATGTTAAAATTAATTCAAATATATACAATTTACACGATATTGCCAAAACTATTAATATAGCGAATAATAAATACACACTTAGAGGCGTTATCAATTATTTGGGCAATCACTATGTTGCTTTGTTATTTACAGGAGCGTCTTGGTACGAATACGACGACTTGAAATCTAA